TAATATTTATTTATATATTATTTATTATAAAGTTTATTTATATATAATAAATATTTAACTCGCACATTTCATAAAATAAAGTATCAGTTAAACTATTTTTTTCATTATCGATTTCACAAAATAAAGTAAATTCTAAACCCTAAACTTGAAATTTGTAAAGTACAGTATAACTATTTTTTTTAGCACCGATCGATAATCCATTATGAATGAGATATAATCAATTATTGATACTAAGGTGCACACAAAATCGTTTGTTTATAATTTTATTGATTAAACATTTTAAAATTTTACTTTAAAATATTGATTTTTATCTTATTTTATTCTATTATTTATCTTTATTAAATCAAACACTTTTATTTTCATTTTATTCTTCTCTTCTTTATTTTTATTCTCTCTCTCTCTCTCCTCAATCAATTTTAGATATATAGGTCATAGGTAATACCATTCATCTTAAATTAAGCTTAATGCACATAAATTAATAAATATTTATTAAATTATATTTTCACTAACTTTTTTTTAAAATTTAATATCATATCATTCCAATTCTATCCTCTCATTTTTGTAAAAGTACTTCAGTGAACAATTAATGAAAAAATTATATACTAAATAGGAGTATAATTGAGAATAATATATTAATTAAACTTTAAGATTCTAAAATGTTAAGAATTAAAATAATAAAAAAAATTAAAGATTTGGAACGGAATAAATATAATGTAATTTCCAGCTGATGATGTTCAAACATAAACGTCTTCAGAAAATTTAATTTCACTCCCACTGGAAACAACCAAGAAAAATCCAAACTAAATTTGAGAAGCATGATTGGGTCATGCTTTGAGACAATTGCCGATGTGGTTCGGATGTCTAGTGAGTAATGTGAACTTGGGATTAAAGTAATAAAGTATACTCATAATAACCTTTGATTAAAAAATTAACCTCGGTTTAATTAAAAAAAAATCTCCCAACTTATTATAATAATTAGCTATATGGTTTAAAACTGCAAGTCCTACGCGTTTTCGTTGATTCATACATATAGGTTTTTGTTCGGAGAATCTGGAGCATAACCAAATCCTTTTGTGCAGACTAGTTTGACTAAGCTTAATTTCAAGTAGAATAGCAGAACTTAAATTGCGATTTCAAAGGTGAGAGAGAACCACAAATAGCAAATTTATTTGTTCAAAACACTAACGTGTTTGTTTATTTTGCTATATTGCATTTGAATGTGACATAGCAATGTTTCTGGATGGACGTCTCAACATCACAATTAACTATGCATGATTTTCTATTACTTGAATATAGATTTTGTTGCTTACTGTTTCGCATAATTAATCGTTTCAAACGGTTTAGCTTTTTCTTATTTTCTCAACAAATTATACTCTCTTTTTTGTGGTTGGAAAAATACTCAAATATGTTGATAAGGAAAGAAACTGGAGAGAGTGGTTTCTCCGGAAAAACTCACCGACACCAACTACCTACTAGAGGAGAGGGTAAATCACTTAATAGAGTGAAAAAAGTTACGACCATTATCTTGTGTATTTCTTTTAATTCTTCATATTTTTCTTTTCTCCTTTAATTTAGAATTTATGTATATACTTCTTTGTTCTTACTAAAGTGACAAAGGAGTCATGATCAGCATCTTCTGTAATGTACTATACCGAGATGGAAGGCCAACCTCATTGGAAAATCTAGCTCGTGTTGAGGTTGGTCTGCCTAGTTCTGAAGATCATAATTTATACCAACCAGGTATGTAGAAGCGAGAAATCCGGTTCATGCTGAGGTCATAGTACGAGGATGACATGACATATGAGCTAAGAGCATCTGCAATGAAGGTTGCATATAAGCAACCCCATTAGAGATGCTCTAATATAACTGAGAATGTCGATGACACCTCAGCACACAAGTGACATCGAACATCGATGACACCTCGGCATGTAGGTTACATTGAATTTAACTGCTACTAACTTCTCATTGGTAACAGATATAGCAGTTACATCATAGAGAGATCACAAGGTAGGTAATTATATAGAGAGATCAGAGATAGAAATCCATATACTAACTTGATTGTCGGAATCCTTTTTGCAGGTACATCAGAGACACCTGGAGATTGGAGATCGGACAAAAAAGGAGAAAGACCAACCTGAGTTTGGTAAGAACATGTATCAAATACAATACAAAGAAGGAACGTTATGGTTATGAATTTTAATTTTATTCCTGTTATTGTACACACAAAATAAAATATTTTTTTAAAAAAATTGTGTCAAACTAAGATTGAAAGCTATAAGTGCAAATAATTCATCTTGCAGGCATCGCATTAGTGCTTCAACGAGTGTATACACACAGAAGTTGACTATATATAAAAAAAGAAGTATTGGTTGCTAATTTCATATTGTTACGTGGGACAAAAGGTAAAATATATTTTCTTTTATATCACAAGTATTATCTACGAGACAAATAACAATTTTGGTTGAAAGTGTAAAATTATTTTAAAACTCTTCTTGTATAAAAATTTAAGTATTTAAGTAGATAAAATTTGAAGTATAAAAGTAAACTTTAATTAGTGCTAATTATAAATTTAAGTAATGCTCATAAAAGTTAGTTCCTTCTATAGTTTCACGACAGAAACAAAAAAAAACGATCATAAGTACCAAAAATTGGTATAAGTGGCTTGGTGTGCTTATGTTCTTTAATCAAAGGCTAGAATTTTATCTCTGTTTAATTAGAAGTATTCCATTGTAAGTAAGCCCTTGACCAAGGGACACAGGCTGATAAAAGAGGTACTGCTATAGCATAGCAGACAGGTTCTGGCATTAATCTTGGCTCTCTCCACTACGCCACTACCCCTTTTCGTGTTGTGATGATCATTCTCATATTGAATTTCCATTCAAAGTAATAAGACCGTTTCTAAACCAAAACACAGGTCCTTTACTTTTCCCTTACTTTGTTAAAGTGTTTCTTCATTTGTTTGACTAATTGAGCATATCAGTCATATCAGGTTCCTACAAATCGTTAATTTAAGGTGTGTAGTATCGTTACTAATAAAAGATTAAATTAGTCCGTGTAGTTTACATTGTTTTACATATATAAATAAATAAAATTGGGAATTCTACTTGATCTACCACTTTTTTTCTAATTAATGTAATTAATTACAAAGATTAAATAACAAGAGTCATCCTTCTTGCAAGTAAATAATATAAGTCATGGGCAAAGAAACATTAATAATCTCTAAGTGACGGTCAAGTAATTAGTCTTCTATCTATGGCAACGCTTCGTCGCGTACTGAGTCGGCCACGACAAGTAAAGACCCCTAAAGTGTTGAAATCAACTAGCAAAGCTCAACCTCATCCTTCACGAAACCAAACAGAAGAATGCAAAGTAATAAAAGGTTTGAGGGGTTTTCCAGGAACTTGCTATGTTCATACCCCGAAGCCCCCAAGTTTCTTCCAATAAGCGGTATATAAAAAAACCACTACTACCCCAGGTTTGCATTTTAAGTGGTTTTTACTATATATAGTAGGGTACCACCCTTTCCCACAATATGTGAAATTGTGATTTGTTTTTTCTTTTATGTGTCTATTCTGGAAAGTAGAAACCTAGCCTTGATTTCCGGTGTGGGATTTGTGCAGGGTTTAAAAGAGATGAACCGTGACAAAAGTATAGACAAACCAATGAAGCCGCGAAGGCGTCAACGTCTTCCTCAAAGACTTAGAAACGATGGTGGCGGTGGCGGTGGCCACCATATTCCGGTGCTTGGCCTATGTCGCTTTATTCTCGGGGTCATCCTCTTGTCCTTGGTCTTGTTTCTCTTCTTTTATTTCATTTTAGCAGTATGAGAAAGGAATCTTATTACTGCTATTATGGGAAAAAAAAAAAAAAAAAAACAACGCAAGAATAAAGATCTTTGTGATAATTGGACTGGTGGATCAAGTTCCATGCACTTTCAAAAAATTAAGAATTGAGAGGAGAGAGGACAGCAGGTTTCAATTTCAAAACGTCAAATTGTGTAGGTGGTGGGTGTGGGGGGCCTTCTAGGGCGGCAACAAGGTTAGCTAGATTGATACATACGAAAGTGTATGGACCTTGATCCACTAGATACCATTCAAGTATATTACATATAGATTTGGTGATTTGTGTATGTATTTGGTTTACTGGTTTTAGTTATTAATTCAGCAGCTTTTCAATGAGGATTCACTTTATCTGAGTGTCGTTGAAGTATTAATAATAATATAGCATGAGCAAAACAATTAATGGCCATGGGGGCTCAATCATGCAATGTTAATTGGTTCTTTCACTACGGGTAATAATATACAGTTCAACTTTTTCAAATTCATCTTTTCACTCTCAATAGTTAATTAAGCTGGTCTCTCTAAGTAATACGGACCATTATGTATTATATGCAATATCTTAATTTAAGTTCAGAAATCAATCATACTTTTAGTCCCCCATCATTTGATAGGGATGCTGATACAAAAGGACACAATTAGATAACGAAAAGATATAATATATAGCTATTAGCTAGTACATAACCCATTAAATTGTTAGACAAATCAACATAGAACCCACTCAAATAAAAGAGAAGAAAATCAAGAGGTTCAAACTGTACGACAGGGTTCTATTGCAATGCCCTTAATTTACTTTTTTTTTTTTTTTTTCATTTTCTCTTCTCTCTCTTAAACTTTCAAAAATTAAAATCATATATTTGAATCAACAACTATATATTAAAGATAAACATCTCTTTTTAAGAACTTCTTTTCGACGAGAGAGTTTTTAAAAATTATTTTTATTTTTTATCTAATTCAATTTTTATTTATAATAATTATTTTAATTTCTCTCTTTCAAGTCTTTTAATAAACGTTTTTAACATGAACAAGAATAAGAAGTTGAACTATTCATCATTTATGTCCACATTTAAGAAATTCAATTTTTTTTATCAATTATGTCGAATTGTTTTTGATAACATACTTAGAGAACACTGTCTATTTTTACCAAAAAAAAATATTCAAAGAACAATAACATATGTAAAAAAGAATTGTTTTGTTCATAAAAAAAATTATTTCAATTTGAAGTTTAAATGTAAGGAATACGTACAATTAAAAGAAACATATTTGTGGGTAATTCTTTTCGCACACATTTTTTCCTTCTTCTTTGTATTCTTCCTTTAAAAAAAAAGACAATTTCTGAAATTGTTTTTTTTTATATATTTTAAAAACTAAAATTTAGAATGTAAAAAAAAAAAGGGGTGCAAATAAAATTACCTCGGTAATTTTTTATTCAAATGTGGTCAACCGTAGCTCTTCATGTGAGTATTTTATCTATTACCATAATGTGTTATCAGACAGTTGTTTAGTCACTCTGTACACATTTCTATTAGTTTAAAATTCATTTACTCTTCTTTTTTAGTTCTTTCTGGTTTTATTTCTTCTTTTTAATGTGAAAAAAAGGCTTCTTGTTGAACCCATGTTTTTCTATCGTTCTAGTGCATTTACGAATCCGTGTATATGTTTGCTCTGGGCCTACTTACGGAGAGGCCTAAAAAACCTTAAAATTAGTTGGCCCAATTGTTGGCAACCCATTGAAGCACCTGCAACTGCAAAGCACTAAATTAGTGGCAACAAGCTTACTGGACTTCGTGAGTTTTTGTTTCTTTTAATTAATAAATAAACAAGCTTAAATTCAAAATTCAATTACATAAATGAGTCTAGTATAAAGTTTATAGACTTGACTTTAGAAGTTCATAAGTAATTGGTGAATGTGCCCGTGTGTATCTTAGTTTTATATAAAAAAGAGACATAGTTAATAAATTGTAATTTTATCTTAAAGAATTATCATCACATGATTTTTATATTCTCTTTCTCTTCATTTAATCTCATTTTCTAACATGAAAATATTTTCAGGCCCCTCACAGTTCCGTCTTCTCTTAACTAGATTTTTATATTTTTCTTTATGTAAATATTTATAATAAAATAAGAGAAAAATATTTAACTTAAATTAACTGCGAAAAAATAATAGAGTATAAAAAAAAATTGATCCCAAGTTCCTGTTATGGAGTTTTGGACTTGAATGATTCCAAGAAATAAGGCCCAACGTATGGTTTTTTTGGTTTCAATTTCATGTTGTGAAAGATAGAAAGAGTAATCTTAAAAAATAAAAATAAATAAAATAGTAACGTCGCCTGAGAGATTCGAACTCTCGCGGGGAAACCCCATGTACTTAGCAGGCACACGCCTTAACCACTCGGCCAAAGCGACTGTTATGATGGTCATTCTCTAGTTAGTTATCATAAAATAGTTTTCGTAATCCATAACTTGCAAGATTTTCTTCTTGGTGAAATCAAAACATAATCCTAATTTGTTAATAGTGGGTCTATACAATTAAATCCCACACCGAAGTTAGTTTGGTTGATGAGTTCTAAACTAACCTATATTTACCAGTATATAATATAGTGAAAACGGGTTACTATGTTTTTTTTTTATGTATTTTATTTAAATAAAAATAAAAGAGATAGATGGTTATAATATCGATTCTCACAATTTTAAACTATTTTATCTCTTAATTAAAATTATATACCATTATTTTTGTTTTAATTATATATAACAAAATTTCACTAGTGCAATATATGTTTATAACATCAATTTTTTTATAATCGATTATAAGAGAATTGATTTTAAATGAAATATATTTATCAATCAACTAATTACATAAAAAAAATATCAAATTTCAAAATAACAATGTATTATTATTTTCTATTTAATATTTGACATTTTTTTATTTTTAAAAATAAAAAATAGTAAATAATTATAAACTTCACTAACTTAATACAGAGATCGGAATGGACTACCTCTTTTCCCTATAATAATATATAGTAATAAAGATGTTAAAACCTCTCATTATAAATAGTAGATTCTCTCTCTTCTTTTTTTTTTTTTTTTTACATAAATAATAATAGATTCTAACTTATTTAAGACAGTGAATACATGACTTCAATATCAACAGTATCGAATCCATGGCTGTAAGTAGGACATGTTAATGTTAGAATCACACTCAGCTGGCTTATTTAAATAAGACTAAAAAATGTATATGGTCAGAAAAAATAAATTAATAGTCTGATTTAATCGTGGGTATGTACAATAAAAACGTAGATACTTTATTAAATTGTTACAGTAGAACATTCTCCAAAATATTATTTTAATGACCGTAATATTTTTTTTTCTATAAATATACTTCACATATTGCTTTAAAATTGATAATTAAAAATTAATATACTTTTATTAATTAAACATTATTTTAACATATTAAAAAATATAAAAATAAGATACATCAGCATATCATTAAATTTTATGGCATATGTTAGCAACAATGTTCTTATAATCTATTAGACTGACCTTGAATAAAAACAAAATATTATTTTTTGTCATAACACATTGAGAAATATAAAAATAATTATAATATATGCAAGTTGTAACAATTAAAAATAAACAAAAGGATCTCTCATTATGTAAATAGGGGATGCACACCACTTGGTTGATTCATATAAACCCGTGACTAAGTGTCAGAAAAAGATCCCACGATTTTTGTTATTTTTATACAAGGGGACAAAACATTGAATGGGAGGCTTACAATGCAGTAGGGTATCTAATGTTGTACTTCATTTAAAATGGTTTTTGTTCATATATTAAGACATGTAAATACAAATACAATGTGATGAATTTCTTTTATGTATAGAGATCTCAAACTTCCATGTGAAGAGAAACTTTATGTAAAGCCGATAGACATTTTTCTTACTCTCCTCAACTTTCACTTATATATGTATGGGTTCTGTCCTCGTCCTATCCTGCATATTCGCATGCTGACCTTATATATAAGGAAGTTTAATTAGTTGTCTTGATTAGTTCTATTTATAATGTAGTTTTCTTGATTAAGTGAAAGTGCATTTATTTTCACAATTGTCATGGTTATACATTTTAAAAGGAATTTATGCGATTTCAAGTTTGAATTAAAAATCAAATTTGGGTCTTTAATTACTTACTAACCTTTTAATCTCACAACTTTTTATTCAAGCAAAATTCTATCATAAAGCAGTATAAAATATGATACATGGATGAAGCATTATTTTCAATCGTTGAATTTAACAATATAATAATCAATGGTTCAAATTTCTTACTTGTTATTTCAGAAAGAAAATTTTTGTATTTTACAGATTAATTCCTGTTTAAAGTTATTGTTTTGACTGTCTACGATGGGTGGTGAGGACGAGGAAGACGACGGGGAGGCCCGTATTTGGAGGTGGTGAGGTTTTGATTGTAATAGATATAGTTGACGACGAGAAAGACGAAAGAGAGACCCTAAGAGAATTGAACGACATGGACGACAAGGAGGAGGAGGTAGCGGCAGAGGAAGGACACGAGGCCAATAGCATCAAAGAGGAGGAACCCGCGCCTCCACTGCGCTTCTACTACCATCGCTTCAATAATTACTTTTTTTACAAGTAACTTTTCATTTTTTTTTTATTTTTTTAATATAATACATATACATGAAGTACCTTTTTCCTGTTAGTATATATAAAATGTATGCGGGTGCTTGTCATATATAGTTTTATTTTTTATTAATTCATTGACTAACTTTTACTTACATGTTCATTAAAAATATGCAACTAAATTAAAGATAACTTTTTTTTTTCTCTCTCTCGTTTTTACGTGCAGAAAACATTTTCTTAAAAAAAAATTTGAGAACAAGCATTGCTACTCAAACCTTTGATAAGTTTTCCAGTTTCGACTATGTATAATGTAGCTATCTTAAATATTCAGATAAAGATTTTCACTGTTTACATTAATCTTATCTTATTCGTACAAAATTATTTTTTATAGAAAATATTTATAATTTTAAAATAATCTTTAATAAGTTCCATCATTGTTTTACATATATAATAAATAAACGTTGCAGACATTTATAAGAAAGAGGGAAATGACGTGAAATAACATTTTAATTATTATTGTTTAAAGGGACATTTCTTTCAAGATATCAGGTTATATTTTTCGGAAATGTTATTCTCACGTTTTTTTTACGAGTTTTGAAAATTGATTTTTGAGAGTTCTTTCCTTATCAGTTTTTTACCTTTTTATCAATTTTATTCACATGTTGAGAGTGTGAAAATATGATATTCAAGAAATGGACATATGTAACTTCAGTTTTTTAATTATCTTTTATTTAAATTATTTTAAAGTTAAAAAAAATATTCTAGAGAATATTGGGATATAACCAAACATATTTTATAAATATACCAAAAAGTTAACATTCCGGTTAAAATATTTCTAAGAATGTGATTCCAAAAAATGTAATTTGACATCTTGATGAAACAAAACGTAAATTAAAGGACAGATTGATGATGAAAGGAAAAGACGAAAAACAATTTTTTTTCCTTTCATTTAAAAGGCTTTAATTCTAAGAAAAATAGAGGTATTCATTAATTTAGATCAATTCAACGATTCTGATTACCTAAATTGAACCAATTAAAATGGTTTATATTTTTTTTTCTAATTTAGATTGGATTCAAAATAATTCAATTAAAATGTGATGTTAATTAGTTCGAATATCAAATTTAAAATTTTGAAATTTAAATCAAATTAACTATTTATAGATTATTTTTAATTTAATTAATTAGTATATTAAATATTGTGCGTCGTTTTCTAACAATTATTTGCGTTTTGAAACATTCATAAACAAAACATCAATTTTGTGGTCCATGATGAATCCAACTAAAATGTATATCTTTGTTTGAACTTTACGTAGCACCTCAATCACATTATAATCCAAGTTTCGACTTTTTCTTTCTTCTATGTCTCTCTCAAATCTTCTTCCTCACCTATTTTTCTTAAATTAAAAATTCAAAAACTTAGAGCAATCTTGAAACATGATGGGATAAAAAAGCATATAATTGGGTTATATTCTCACAATATTAATTCATCATAATACATTAATATATATATATATATACGTATATTATAAATTTAGCATTTGCGCATCTTAATTTTTTGAAAATCTTTCTGATCTCACTTTGAAAAGTAAAATAAAATTGTGTGACTTGACTTTAATTTAAAAAAAAAAATTATTTTAACTCTTTGTTTATGTTCTTGTAAATGTAGAGGAGTTTTATATCCGAAAGTACTTTCCATAATGAGTAGTGACTAAAACACTGTAACATAACCTAAAATTATGTGAAACTTACTTTACTCTAAATCGGTTCTGGAGAGTACTACTGAACTTGATACCACAACATAATTTAATTAAAACATTAAGACATTAAGTATGTGAGTCTTTTTCTTTTATATACGGCTAAACATGTTCAACTCTAACCGACGTGGATGTACTTTATACTTTAACTCTAAATTGGCTTTATGACACTGGATAAGTGGGTCTTTCTCACTTATAACTTTAAGGTGTTGGATCACCTACCATTATTCAAACTTTCAGTACAAGAAATAATTCTACTCTTACATCTTCTATCAATTCCATCGTTGTTGGGGAGTCTTATATCCAGGGATACTTTGTTAGATCTCCAGCCAATTTCACTATTGTTGGAGAGTTTTACATTGGAAACACTTTACATAATGGATAGTGAGTAAATTATATAAGTGAATTTAACACCATTACATAACTTAAACTCTTAAAGCATTAAGTAGGTATATTTTTTCTACTGTTCAACATGTATAACTTTAATCGATGTGATATTTATTTTACATTCAAATTCCAACAATAAAATTATATATATATATATATATATATATATATATATATATATATGTGCGCGCAAAACTAAATCAAACACTATTACACTGTTCCACACATGAGTAGGATGTCAATTGTCTAACAAGAAAACTTGTGATTGGACAAATTAATAAAAACCTGTACATACATCATTGAGCTTCCTTGTCGTGGTGCTACTTTTTGCTTTCCTTCGTTATTATAATTGTTTCTTTGTTATTTTGTTGATTTGATTATGAAGCCCGTGAGCGGATATGAAAACAAAAAGAATTTAAAAAATAATAATAAATTACGTTATCCGCATAAAACAACGGAGCCTTTACTTAAATAATACTTGTTAGTTTTTTTCTTCTTATGTTCGGAAGGGAACGTCAAATTATACATTTCAAGAAAAAAAAAAAAAAAAAGGTTTTCATTTGACCTTTATTCATCTAATGGTTCCTTCAAAGTTCCACACATAATGTAGCAACCAACGAATTTTGTTTTTCCTATCACGCGGATATCTCTTAATATATTAGATCAAAAACAAATATTTCGTACTCAAGTATTGTAGTCTGTTGTTATTTCGAAAAAAATTTTCACATGAAAAAAATATATTGATCACGCGTTTCCTATTATATAAATCATTTTTACAATATGTGAATACAAAATACTTAACCACTATATCGTCTCATTAATATATGTGTAATAATATCTTAAAGAATGTAATAAGAAAAAAAAAAGACATATTCATCCGGTTACAAATTATTATACAAGATAAATTTATTCATTTTGTTATAATAATTATCTCTAAAAATCATGTTAAGAATGATATTTATTGGTTCATTAAAACCATAACGTAACCAATAACACTCTTTTGGGAATATGTATTAAGTACTATAACAAACACAAATGAATTCTAGCTAAAGATTAATAGTTTGATGCAATATATAGTTAGCATCGTAGCTGTAAATTAAGAGAATATTTGATGGATATGATGAGGGAATTTAAGGAGCATAGTACAAAAAGAATTGACAGTGATTAATTTGCAGTAAATTAATCATCCTCTTGCATGAAGAAAGGACAGGAGGAGCCCCCACCTTGACGCGTTTCCAGCTGTTTACATTATGTTTGTTTTATTATTAAAATTTCTCAAATGTACGTACTGAAAAGATAAAAATAATTATTTTATATTTTAGTGCTTTAAAAAGTATATTTTTACATTTTTATTAAAAAAATAGTTTTCCAAATGCTCTTAATCCATGTATCTCTACATAATATGTTTGTTCTTTCACAAACTCCACTGATGTCATCCAAAATTAGTAAATGACGTTGTTGGTAATCAAGTACTTGTTGTATTAAGATTGGCGCACGTGAATTTGATATTCAATGTTTTAATTCTCCATCTTTTCCCATGGTAGTATCCAAGGTATGCATGAAATTTGGGTTTTAGAAAATATATAAAACTAATTTTTCAATAAATATTATCTGATTTAATAATGTTTAAAATAAAAATGATAAAGTAATATAAATTTAATGTTATAATCTCTAATTTATTTTGATTATATTATACAACTCTTTTAATTTAAAAAAAATAATTCATCTTATATTAAAAAGTGATTTTGTAGAGCATGCTTTGGTCACCTCACTTATCAAATAACATTGTTTTAAAAAGACGTTAATTTTGTCCTTCATCATTTTTAACCGAAAAATCTGTTATCTAATGTGTCACATATTTATCTAGTAGATTTTATCTGATGAACTTGATATTCTCAATTATCAAGATAGCCAAAATAATCGATTCTTATACATATTTAGTCTGTGTTTGGTTTTACGTTTGAAACATGAAAAATCACGTTTAACGTGGAAGCTAACGTGATTTTTCACGTTTCAAACGTGAAACCAAACACGCACTTACCTTATTATGGTCTTAATACTCTTAGACTATTAAAAAGTCGAAATGACCAAGATAGTCATGTACTTAATGCGTCATAATACAAATTATATAATTAGTGAAGAAAACACATTAAAAGTTAATCCATCATTAACAATTGTATTATGATAATCATAACCAAAATTTACTATATTCAAATCAATTTACTTATTTATTGTTCACTTAGATATTTGTTTCGGATCCTTATTTAAACTTGGAATTTTTTATTTTTTTATTTTAGATACTCCAACCATCAAATTCGTCGACGATAGTGAAGACCAGAAATCGCAAACTTCATAGGCTTAATAGTGCATCTTCGTACATGTACACGTCTTTTTTTCTCTTTCTATATAAAAGCTCACTCTCATACCTTACTTAAAACCCTCGTATAAAATAAATAAATAAATAAAGTAAGCTAGTTCTGACATTTACGTGTTTTTGCTTCATTCACGTGTTATTATTTCAATTATAATATTTTGAATATATAATAAACTTTGACGGATGAATTTTTGGGGGTATGTTTAGATAGGAAAGTTTTTCTCAAAAGAAAAAGAGGAAGGGAATACTAAATTTTAAAAATAAATTAGTGTAATATATTAGAATAATGTTTTGTGTTATTCATTCTTTTAAGAAAATCTCCCTGGCTATTGGTTAGTAGTAGTCTTGCTTCATTGACATTTGAGAATTTTGTCTCTCCTTCAATTCTAGATTGTAGTATGTAGACATGCATTTAACTGACAAAATAGTATAAGGGTAAGAAATTATTTTTAGTTAATGGACAAATATAGAGTTCATTAACTTTTCAAATATATTTTTTTAATCCATAGTAATTATAATGATAATAACATATTAATTTGTAATAATTATGATCATAACATAGCTCGAACCAGAATCATGTACATATTAACTTTATCCTCACTACTAGCCCTTTTTCAAATAATGAAAATAAAGCCAACCAATTATTAAAAAAAATGAAAAATTATTTTATAATTTCATTTTAGTTGTTCTTGAAAAATAATATTAATTTAATTATTTTCATTTGTTTGTTATTATTTTTAAAGTTTAAAATTGATAAACAGCAGTTTTAGAAACTGAAAAACTGAAAAACCCGGGATGGGATTTTGAAACAGGAGAGTGTAGAAAAATGAGGATGATGTTTATAAAGAGGCAAGAGTGTGTTGGTGTTGGTGTTGCATTGTAAATTGTAATGGTAATGGTGTGATTAAGCCATGGACTCAATTGCTTTCTCCTTGATTTTTTTCATTCTTCAAGTCACAATGCTATCCGCCAAGAAGACTTACATAGTACACATGAAACACGGCCACGATGCCTCCGTCTACCCCACGCACCGTGAGTGGTATAATGCAGCACTCGATGCTTCTTCTTCTTCTTCTTCATACGATTCCATGCTATACGCCTACACCGCTGCTTACAACGGCTTCGCTGCCACCCTCGACCCTCAACAAGCCCAGGCGCTGCGAGCCTCCGATTCTGTCTTGGGCGTCTACGAAGACACGCGCTACACGCTCCACACCACTCGCACCCCCCAGTTCCTGGGCCTCCAGGCCCATTCTTCTTTATGGGAAGACCTCCACCAACCCTCGCACGACGTCGTCATTGGCGTCCTCGACACAGGCGTCTGGCCCGAATCTCTCAGCTTCCACGACTCCCAAATGCCTCAAATCCCCACGCGCTGGCGCGGCAACTGTGAATCCGCACCCGACTTCGACCCTTCCCTCTGCAATAACAAACTCATCGCTGCTCGCACCTTCTCCAAGGGCTACCGCATGGCCTCCGCTAATGCTAGAAAACCTAGGGACCTTGCCTCGCCGCGTGACAACGACGGCCACGGCACGCACACTGCATCCACCGCAGCCGGCTCCTCCGTCGCCAACGCCACTCTCCTCGGCTACGCCACTGGCACTGCGCGCGGGATGGCGCCGCACGCGCGTCTCGCTGCCTACAAAGTCTGCTGGACCGACGGCTGTTTCGCCTCCGACATTCTCGCCGGGATGGATCAGGCAATCCAGGACGGCGTCGACGTCCTCTCCCTCTCCCTCGGCGGCTCCTCCTCCGTCCCGTACTACTTCGACACCATCGCCATCGGCGCCTTCGCGGCGGTGGAGAGAGGAATCTTCGTTGCGTGCTCGGCCGGGAATACCGGACCTCGCTCCGGTTCTGTCGCGAATGTCGCTCCGTGGATCATGACCGTCGGCGCCGGAACCCTGGACCGCGATTTTCCGGCGTACGCTACTCTAGGCAACGGGAAACGCTTCGCCGGAGTTTCGCTTTACAGCGGAGAGGGAATGGGAGACGAACCGGTCGGTTTGGTTTATTTCGACGACCGGTCGAACTCGTCGAGCAGCATTTGCATGCCAGGCTCGCTGGACTCCGAGAGCGTGCGCGGGAAGGTGGTGGTGTGCGACCGGGGGCTGAACGCGCGCGTGGAGAAGGGAGCGGTGGTGCGCGATGCCGGAGGCGTCGGGATGATTCTGGCGAACACGGCGGCGAGCGGCGAGGGACTGGTGGCGGACAGTCACGTGGTGGCGGCTGTCGCGGTGGGGGAAAGCGCGGGCGATGAGATCAGACAGTACGCGTCGTTGGATCCTAATCCAACCGCGGTTCTTAGCTTCGCGGGGACCGTGTTGAACGTGAGGCCCTCGCCGGTTGTGGCATCGTTCAGCTCTCGCGGGCCCAATTGCGTGACGGCCCAGATACTAAAACCGGACGTGATTGGGCCTGGAGTGAACATCTTAGCGGGATGGTCCGGAGCGGTTGGCCCATCTGGGTCCCAAGACACACGCAAAACGCGATTCAACATAATGTCTGGTACGTCCATGTCGTGTCCCCACATAAGTGGGTTGGCTGCGCTGTTGAAAGCAGCCCATCCTGATTGGAGTCCAAGTGCGATCAAATCTGCACTCATGACAACGGCCTATACCCATGACAACACCGAGTCTCCACTTCGTGACACAACGGGTGAAGAAGCCTTCTCCACACCGTGGGCCTATGGGGCCGGTCATGTGAACCCTCAAAAGGCCCTCTCTCCTGGGCTTGTTTATGATGCCTCCACCCAGGACTACATTGCGTTTTTGTGCTCCTTGAACTACACCCTTGACCATCTCAGACTCGTTGTCAAGCGTCTTGATGCCAATTGTTCCCTCAAATTTACTGACCCGGGTGACCTCAATTATCCATCTTTCTCCGTTGTTTTCGGAAGCAATAAGGTTGTTCGTTACACGCGCACCTTGACCAACGTGGGGGACCCAGGTTCTGTCTATGACGTGGCTGTGAGCGCGCCCTCCATGGTGGGGATAACGGTGAATCCTAATAGGCTTGCGTTTGGTGAAGTAGGGGAAAGGCAAACGTACACGGTGACGTTCGTGTCCAATAGGAGTCTTAACGATTCCGTTACGTCTGATTTTGGTAGCATCATGTGGAGCAATGAACAGCACCAAGTTAGAAGCCCGGTTGCTTTTACATGGACATATTTTTGATTCAGCTTGTCACTGTACACTCGTATTTAAAGCCCAACAGCATAGGCCTAGTGTTGAAAGCAAACGAGCTGCATTTGCTGTTGTCATCTGCCGAAATTGCAATTGTAATGACTGATTTAGTTGCACCCTAGGCTAGTAGTAAAAGCAAATGCAACATGACACCGTCTTTATCACGTTGCATAAATTGCTTTCAGAACCCACCATCAGACTGTTGTTGAATAATGCATCTACAGGGTGCGTTTCTTGGGATGATGGTTTGGTTTGGTTTGTTTACATGGACAAGTTTTTACTAAAACTGTAATAATGAGAAGCATTTGAAACTTGAAGGAAACGTCTAATGAGTACGTTTAGAGTTTTTCACTGATCCCGGGTTCAGGTGGCGAATTTCACAAATATGGAAACAGATCACGGACAATTATGTGCTTGCTCCTGAGCATCCCATGTGCAATGGATGGATTATTTTTCTCTTCCGGTTTGGTACAGGCGTGCAGTGAAAAAGGAGTGCCATGTTCTACCGCAGTACATACTACACACGGTCATTTCAAAGTTAACACTTCCTCTGAATTTCTAATTACTAGTTATTTCGAAGGGTCTTATTCCAAACGATCTCGGCCATGAATGGCTATGAATCGGTGTACCAAATGAAAAGACATTTCCTGTGTCCTGTGTCCAGTGTCAGTTACGCAGAAAAAGGTAGTTCACAGCGCTCACTTATTTTCCTGCCGTGCCATTTCATTATTTCGTCGATCATCATCTTTCTGGTAGGACCACAGGTTTCGAAACTTGGAGGAAAAAAAATCAATAAGACAAAAAAGAAAACACTTTTTCTTTTCTGTTTTTGGAGATAAAACGCTTTATCCTTATCATGTTGTTTTTAGGAAGCTGACAGGGGTTACAATGTGTAAAAACAACACAATCAAGGTCCTTTGCAATTAACACTTGTGCATTAAAAATATGGAACTAATATTTGATTAAGCAGATCAAAGCATGCATTTGTAATCAATATCCATTTTCTACTATTGCGTCATTCATTACACTTGCAACAACAACAAAAGGATCCAACTTATCTGACCCACAATTACAACCGGAGCTACTACATTTGCTTCAAGTATTCATATAGTGCACAATCTAACTTACAACATTTATAACCCTTTATATTTCCAAAATTTATACTCTAGCTATTTAAAATGCAATTATGATGACAAGAACTTCAGATTTCTTTTTTTGCTTTTCCTTTTGGAAAGAATATACTAGCAACATAAACAACAAGGTCTCCAACATGACTTTGTACAACAGCAACATGAGCTTACCTTTGGACAGCTTGGGCAAGAGCAAGTGCAGGTGCATTTGCAACTGCAGCAAGAGGGGCAAGATGGACAAGTTGGACACCCAAAATTGCAACTACTTGGAAAAGTACAACAATTTCCTAAACCACAGCTTTCTTTACAGCATTGTGATTTGGGGCAAGAGCAACAACAGCGCCACTTGGGTAAGGAGCAATTGATGGATGGAAGACAACTGCAACTGCAACTGCATGGTTTGCAGTCACAACAGCAGCGTGGCAATTTTAGTTGTAAAGATAACCCTTCACAGCAGCAACAGCAGCAGCAGATCCAAGAGAGGTTAAAACAGGGCATGCCACTGCACATAAAAAAGTTACTCATGAATCGTGATAGTTATTAAATAAGGCTTACTATGATAAGAGGTGCTACTTCAATGAATGAAATTTAACCATCTTCTTATCAATCATTGTCTGATGCCAACTCCGGCTTATCTCAGACATACACAAGCCACTGTTAGCTGAATGCACGATTCAGCAACGTTGTTTGATACAGAAAAAAATGACAAGGTAACAAAAATAACAGAATCTTTTAAATTAACCATAGCTCAAAAGTGTTGTTCCTCAAAGCTAAACCAGAGTCTTAACAGGAAGAGTCCCTGTCATTAGTCATTAATTTTGTTTTACAAGTAAATACTCAAATAAAACGGGGCAAGAGTGGACAAGAATTCATTTGGTTGAGACTGGTGCTTAACCTCCTATTTACTATATTTAATCAGAAAAGCAGATAGTTACATGTGTGTGGTATCGTTATTATATTTGAATAAAACATGTTTAATCTATTTGCATTGAAACCAAATTTTTGTAAATATTTTTGGTATAAGCAGTTTAAGTAAGGGGATAAACAAGCGGTACCAGAGCCACTTCCAGAAGCGACATGACCGGCGGTTCTTCTTGGTTCTGCTTGAAAGAGAAGAAGGTATAAGAATCATGTTCTCTTTTAAACACTAACAAATGATGAACGATGAGGACAGTTCTTACGAAGGTAACAGAGGATCCGAGTTTGCCATCACATAATCAGCAATCCTGCAATATTGTTGCATTCAATCAGCAAAGCACATTTGGCTAGCAATAATTCAAACATCCGAAAGAACTTCTCTAGTTTCATAATCTAAATGGCATATACATACTCTTCGCAGCATCTTGAAGCTGGCTGAAGGCCCTCAACAGATTTTAACTCTTCCTGCTAGATGCAAAATTGTCAGTAAATTTGATTTTAACACCAAAAAATGCCAGAAGGAAAGTTCACCAACTTAATCTCAATTGGCAAGTTTGACTGTAGTAGTACCATGCTACTAGTTCTTTAAAACCACATCTAATTACCGAGAGGGAGGGGAACAACTTATTCCACAAAAATGCTTTGTATATGAGTGAAAAACCACTCATTTCATCTCATCCTTCACCATTCATCAATCAGCAAAAGAAACGAAAACAGCACTTTTCACTTCTTAGGCTTACCAGCCACAGTAAATTATGTTAGAAAACCTGGAGAGGCAATGAATTGGTAGAAAGATTGAAAATTTTGTCTGAAAATTAAAAAATAAAAAAAGAGTCACACTCATAGTCATAGATAACCCATCTATATACCCCAAACCCTGACAGAGATCACAACATTAATTACTCTGCTTCATGAAGTGGCGATCACGAAAATGGCATGCCAAATACCAATTAGCATGTTATGGTGACACTCCCTCCATTCTCAAAAACGGAAACTTGAAGTCACAGAAAGGTTAGAATTGAAAAGGAAGGAAAACCCACCTCGAGAAAAGTGATTTCCCTCTCGAGCATGTGAACCCTGGCGGCCTCGCGGCGCTTGCCATACAAATCTGGGTACTCCGGCGGGGACTTGGGGGAGGGCGGAGGGAGGGAAGGGACGGAGGAGGAGCGGAGAGTGGGAGTGGCCATTGAAGAGAGAGAGAAAGTGAAATAGACAGAACAAGAAATGGCAGAAGTAGCAGGCAGTAATAGCAGAGGGAAGGGGGCACAAGTAACAGTAATGGTAAGTGACAAAGAAGAAGCGGCAAATGAGGTTAGGTGTGAATACCATACGAGTGTGGCAGAGGCAGTAAATAGGCCCTCTGACAAGGGATAATTAAGAAATTCAATTTAATTAAAAATGGATGCAAGAACTGAAAAGAGTGATAATGAGGGTAGAAAGAAGGTCATTATTGTGGAGTGGACAGGGCACGAGTGGGAGAAACAGATTAAATAAAACTAAGGGTACAAGAATCTGAAGCTCAAGGTAGTAGTCATTTTTAAAATATTTAAGCTTAGTGAGAGAGGCACATCGCATTGCATGGTGTAAGGGAAATAATAGTAATAGTAATAATGGTAAAGGGTGTTAATTATAAACAGTAAAGACGGCTGAGGAAAAGCCTGCGACTGCGAGTGTCTGTACGAAGCTATTTAGGAAAGTTTGATTGAGATTTGAGGATTTGTTATTAAGACTATGAAATGGGTTTGTTTTAAATTCAAATTTGTTTTGTTTTGTTTAGCTTGTGGTGGGTGGTGGTGCACTGAGTAGTGTTGCAGAAGGCAAGCGAAAAGCACGATGGGAATACCTCAGACCGCACGTGACCGCTGCGTAGGAAAGAGAAATAATCCTTGTGTTTGCTGTTTGGTGTTTGGGCGCCACTCTCTTCACCCACACCATTTTCGTAACTAAGCTAATGCCAACTATCAACTTTCAACTTCAACTCCTCAAATCAAATGCAATGCAACCCTTCTCACTTACTAAATTAATTTACTCTTTCAAATTTTCATTAACTATCACTTTACTATCTAAATTTTAATAAAAATGTCTTCAAAATTATAATTTTTTCACTTATTTTAATACTCTCTTTAATATGGTTTATTTTCTCCTTTCATACTTATATTACAGTGTAGTTTATAATAGTATTTCAAATATATAGAATAAATTATTATAACATTTTGAGGTTAATATAATTAATATTGATTTATATAAGTGTAACCATTTCTGTTTTTTAAGTAAATTATTCAAAATTCAATTCATGATTATAGATATGAAATATATTATGTTAAAAGGAAAAATACTTACTTTATATGTATTCCTAGTTTTCGATCATTTTTTTTATTGTGAATACTTCATATTAACATCATAACTAGAAAAAGACCCATGTGATATTGAGATACAATTTTAAGAATCAAAATAACATCACCATATCATTTCATAAACAAAAATGACATATCATTATAATCATATAAAATAATATTCATTTGAAACTTATATGTAATAGATAAAAGTATTAGTAAATTTTAATTTTTTTTTCTATTAATGATATAATTTTAAAATATGCTTCATTTAATTGATTTTTATTTTGAATTAAATATATTTTTAATTTATGAAATTTTTAATTTTTTTTTAATTCTTAAACAAAATTTTGACAGATTTTAATCTGGAAACCTTTTTTCCATTAATAGGTTAACTACCATGTTATGTGATGATGTAGAAGTTTTGTTAATAATACAATATCAATTAGTCTATAGACAAAACAATCATGTGTAACTTTTTATTGAAAATTGTGTTTTATTCTTTATATTTTTACAAAATTTATTAGTAAACCTTCAATAATTCTTGACATATCTTAGTTTCTCATTTTTTTTTTATAAAATTCATTTTTAGTTCATTAATATTTTTTTTTACCGGTCTCAAGTTTTTATATTATTTTTTTGTCATTGTATCAACTACTCAATTTAGTCTTCTAACAAATATCATTGTTAAAATCTTGTCCGTTCAAGATATTTTGTAACTTTTTAAGATGTTATAAATTTTTTTTAAAGTGTAAAACTGCTAAAAGGGATTTAAATTTTACAGAAAAAAATGTAATTAATCAAATCAATAAAAAGATAAAACATAAGATTAAAAGGGATTAATAATATATATATATATATATATATAACTGTTAAATAATTTTCAATCAATGATTAAATTTTTTTTTATTATTTTTTTCTCCTTTTGTCATGTTTTTAAATTTCATTCCAATTTTCTTCCTTTAATAATTATGGATAAAAATAAGAGATCTTAAATAAGAATTTATGACTTTAATCAGTTAAAAGTCTAGTCATATATAATTTATTTAATTAAAAAGTTAAATTTAAAATTTTAAAAAAATTATTTATTTAAAAATGTTAGGTTTAAGTTAATAAAAAAATTATTATACCCAATATGTCAGTTCTATTAATATAATTAAAAATAATATATATATATATATATATTATTAATAATATAATTAAACAAATAAAATTATTTACATGAAATCAAAAATTGAAAATAAAAATTCTAGTAATTGCATATCTTTTCCTTTGTCTTTATAATTAATTATTTAAAATATATGAAGTGCAATATAATGAATATTAAAAAAAAATGAATAAAATTATTATTTTTTTCATTATGGCTTGTGTTCAAGTGCATGTTAGTACAAATGAATATATATGAGTTGTCTGTCAATTAGTTTTTTTTTATATTTTAAATTCTAAAATTTAATAATAATAGAGTAAACTATTATTTTTATCATACAAATTAAAAAAAACTCATATGTGTATTTAAAAATATAATTGACTAATTTAAAATTAAATTTATTGACTCATTTAACATTATTAATGTAACATGCATACACTAATAAGATAAGTTAGACTTTTAAAAGAGTCATACCATGTTTATATAATAAAAAAAAATTATAATAGATAATAGGTTAATGTTAGACTTTAATTTTATAGAACAAATTTTACTAATATATTTAAAGTCTAATTTTAATTTTTTAGAATAGACTTAACATGTATATTTAAAAATTAACTTGAGTTATTCCTATCTTCTTCTTATGTAGAATGACACATATGTATTATTATTATAAATAAGAAAAAAGTAAGGATTTAATCAACCGAATTAAAGTTTTAAAAAATAAAAGGGGTAATTAAGTTTTTTATTTAAATTAAAAACTTATATCCAGCTTAACATGTAGGATTTACATACAAGATTTTTAAATTATAAAAGAAAATTAAAATACTTTTAAAAATTAAATATTTAATTAAAATTCAATAAAATTACAAGACTCACTAGTAAGTTTGACTTATACTAAATCCAAAAAATAATAACAAAAATGAATAATAAAACCTAACCTTATGCTGAAAAAGGTGAAAAGTGAATTTAATAAATATTTCAATGATAAAATGAAAATAAAATACACAAAATTAAAAATATGCTGTTAAAATATTATTTTAAATATTATCTTAAGAAAAACTACCAAGTACAAACTACTTTAAAAAAAATGTTTAACAAGATCCAACAATTTTTCGAGCAAATAAAAGAAGTAAAAAAATAAACTAAAAATATTTAATTAGTAAAAATACTTCACAACACTACTTAATACTTATTCAATGAAATTAAGATTAATTTTTTTTACTTTATATAATTTTGACTAAATTATACTTTTGGCTTTTGTCTTTTTTTTTATTGATTTTGATTCTTTATCTATTAAAATGTTCATTTTTGTTATTTATTTTTTTTATTTGAATTAATTTGATCTTTTTAAAACAATAATCATTTTTAATTTTGTAACATAATTTTGATTTAATTTTTAACTTATTCAAGATGTGAAACTTATAATATTAGATTCACCTATATGAAAATTATGAAATATAATTAACATTTTAATCCAAAAGAGATATAACATAGAAAAACAATGTGTGAAAAATATATCTATGAATAATTTAAAAAATAATATAAAATTAAAATTTTTAAAATGTTTTATTTTCATCATATTTATAATACATTTAATTTGAACTTCCCGATACTTTCATTAAAAAAAATTACTATTTAAATTAATAACTTATTAGTAACTCATCACATTTTAAAAAGCAATACATTGCATTCCATAATAAATACAAAATTTAGATACGTTTCATAGTTAAAATATTTTTTAATAATTTTATTTGTTTGAATAACCATTCGCATTTTTGCATAGACTATAATATTCACATAAACTATATATTTCAACTCATTTTCTTAGATGTTTGAAAAATAAGTTCGGAGCACCTGGCGTATATTGCAATTTATAAAAGGCAAAAACATTGTTTTGTTTAAATGGATAATGGACATTTGATTTTTTGATACACAAGTCCAAAAATCTGATTTGGACTGGAGTGATTCAATAATTGATGATTGGGCCATAAAGCTTAAAATCATCAATAGAAAATAACGCCCTCTCTTTCATGTTGTTGTTCTATCTCATCATCACCATAAGTTTGTCTTGGATTATTCAATATTAATTAGGGAACTGCTTTAATATAATCACATTTGAGACATGTCTTAAACCTATTTTGAGCTGTAGATGTTGAACAAAAAGATGTTGTTATTGGAAAATAATGGAACGTAAGTAACTCAATAGATAAAAAAAAGAAGTTATATATAACTCAAGTTCTAGATTTCTAATATTATTTGAGAAATTGAAAACAAACAAATTAATGAATGCATATACTTGTAATCAATCAGTTGTCATCTATGGAAGTTCTCCAAATCATGCCATGTTTTTCCATATGAATCTCAAACAACGTTTTTTTTATGGAAATAAAGAAAAAAAAACATATTATAAAGATTCTAAATCATTTTCTAGAGAAGCTAGAACCCCCACAGGAAGGGATAACTACAATGTTTGCACAGGACTACAGGAGAAGAAGATCTGTCCTGGTTGGCTAAGGTATAGGCCACACAATTTGTTTCATGGAGGATTGCCTAAAGCTCCACGTGTGAGTTCTTACAAAAGAGTTGTTGAACTTTTTTGATAATATCCTGGTGTATGTGAGTAGCACAACCTATCTCTCGCATCTGCTAAATAGCTTACACTGCATCTTATTGACAGTCTGTCTCACAAATATGATGGACCAAAGTTCATGATTCCACCCTATCTGTAACTTTCTCGAATGGCTAGAAGCTCAGTCTGAAGAGCATCACCACTTGGATAATGGTTAGAAAATCCAATCACCCAAGCCCCTTCATAATCACGCACAACCCATGCAATGATTCTTTGTTATCCATTTCTAGCCAAACAACAATAATTATACACTTTCTTTGTCTCACCTTCATCTCAAATCATTTTCTCATGGCTTCAACTCAAACAACATTAAGAATTATGGTATGTTTGTATTTAGATAGACAAGGAAAAGGAAAGAAAGATCAAATGACGTTATTTGATAAAATAGAAAAAAAAAAATAATTTTATAGGTTATTTTTTTAAAAAAAATAATGGAAAAAATAATATAAACATCTTTAATAAAAAATAAAGTAAATAAAATTAAGGATAATGTATTTTTCTAATATTAAAGTTACTTGTGAATTTTTCGTCCAATTTGAAAAAGTTGAAAATATGAATGTATCCCACAATTTATTTTCTTTTGTTTTACTTTTTTAAGTTATACGTACACTTATACCATGCTATAAAAAGAATGAAAGTGTGGCTGTTTTTTCTTGCTGTTCCTCATATTCAT